GAAGGCATGTCCACGTGTGTTTCGAAACATATGTAGAATATAATATAGCGTAACAGTAATAAAACTGAAATACGTTAAAGATGTTGACTTTAGAAACACTAAAATTTATTTGGTGAATATTTCAGCTACTCCTGTAGTCTTTGTCAAGCGTTCCTTGGCAAGTAACAGATTCATAAATATTGCCATTCCTATGTTTACCCATAAATGTAAAAATTACATTTGCTAAAATGCAATGTATTATAATTTTATGATGAATTTGCGATATTGATATGATCATCAATAAAAATATGGGATATCTTTTATAAGATAAATATATCATCCCATGTATCGGCTGTTGCTAGGCGACAGCTGTTACTGCTATCAATGACTGGCACTCAGACTCTATTCTGGAAATGTTGAGGATGATTATTTTTACATTTTAATCTATTTTAGAAATGGTTGCCTCAAAGATATTAAATTATTGAAATAGATATCCCGATTTGAATAATTCTCATTATTCATTTCCTTTATATATCATTTCACAAATAATACAAAGAAGCAAAATGAAAAACATCAGGAAAATACACATTACCAAAAAGACTATTATATTGCAGGATTACCAAAAGTCAATAAGTAATTATAAAAAAAAAAATTAATTAAATAGAATCAATGTACTTATAATTACTGTATTTTCAATTGATTCATAACTTAAGGTAAATCAAGTTAATAATATTTATAGTCGATATTCATGTATTTTTTTTAATTAGGTAAATTGTTAAATAATTAATCTAACTTCCAGTTGTAAAAGTGCATAACGGTATTTACATTATGCATTATATAATTTCAGAATTATTAATAATTATTATTATTATTATTATTATTATTATTATTATTATTATTATTATTATTATTATTATTATTATTTTATTATTTTACTGTCTGGGAGCTCTCCTCTCTTTTTTTCAGGGGTCGTTCCTTCTTCCTTATAAAAAACAAACAAAATGCTCTATAATTGTACTGTTTGACAAAAAACAATATATAGAAACTTAAAGTCTATCAACCAAAGACCTCTCGAAGATGAGACCTCAAATGATATCTTACATGGTGCCTCTATTGACATTTGACACCATTCTATTGATTATAAGTATTTAATTGTCGCCTTTCATTTTTTAATTAGTTAGTTTTTTAGTTAGTTACTGAATTTTTGTTTTGATTCTAAATTTATGTATTGTATTGCTATTAGGTCTTTCATATTTATTCTGTATAGTATTGGTTTATATTTTATTATACAAATATTTTGAACTGTGACCCAATTAAAACCTAGTAAATACTTGTTTTATATTCCACTACATAGATTATAGGCATTAAAGGCATGGCTGAAACTATTACCCGGCTTTAACCAATCAAATGCCTGGAATCTATGCAGTCAGTATATAAAATGTACTATTATAATTGTATTACAACCATGTATTTGGGGTCTTATGTTAGATTAGTAAATAAATTCCTAGTCCTCCTCCTTGGTGCGATAAGGGACATCTCGCATTATTACCTGGCCTCATTCATGTGTCTTGGACATCTCAAACCCATTCCTTGATGTGATTCAGATACTTGCTTAGCACCCCATCCCATTCCTTGACATCATTCAGTTTATACACAATAGTTGTGGTGAACAGGAGTGATGGTAGCAGGGAAGCTTAAAACCCACCATGGCTTTGTCCCTGGACCCAACCTGAAGTTGTCAGACCACTTAGCACACACGTCAGACATATCCTGGTACCGTACTAATGTGAGCTCCAGTCTAAAAGTTTATCAAAATCGTCATGAATTTGTACTTTCTTAACTGATTAGCTTTATTGATTGATGTCGTTTGCCAGGGTGCCCGATTACTACCACACCTGTTACTGTCTTAGTGGATTATCTGTTGCGCAGCATTTTGCAAGTGGTAACCTAGCAACAACAAGTGTTCTGGGTGATCCGTCCAATGAACTAGTAAGTTGACTCTTGATTTATAATGACTGATCTTTTAAACATTTTTTTTGTCTGTTTTGTCTATCCTGGAAACTTTTACTAAAATTCACTCATATTATAATTGAACAAATGATGTTAACCGTTAATGAATAACCGTTAACCTTTAATACCAAATGTATATAGTTAATGTGTACTGATGTAATTTTTTGACCCACATTTTTCAGTTAGGATGTAGGGAGGGAAGAGGAATTAGATTGTTATAAACTTTGATTCAGATATGTCATCTTACATACTCGATTTCAAGAGAATTTAATAATGTGTGTGCAGGGAAAATCTCTGTAACACTGGCACCTTATTTTACTAATATAAGTTGTTAGAATAATTAACATTACCTGTTCTTCACCCTCTGATGAATTTCAAATTAATTACCTCAATTAATCAGTTGAGTGCATCCTCAATGATCTGACGAGAAATGAAATTGTCATCAAAATCTGCAGACAATAAGGTGTATTACGACCATGAAAGCAGTAAAGCGTTACAAACGAGTTGTACAAACAATGATGATGGCTTATGAATCTGTCAATGAGTTAAGTAGTAGAGGTATATGCTTCCCTTGTGTGGTGTATTGTGGAGGTACAATAGCAATACACAAGTTAGTGTATTAGATAACATGCTGGAACGTTGTATATTTTCACAACCATGAAAAAAAAAAAAAAAAACTTCTGTTGATACAAGATTTTCTGTAGTAAAATTGAGATGTTATTGTACCATGTAGTACTGGAATGTATTTTGTTAGCAACTCATGCATATACTTATTTGTCCCATATTATCTTTTTCTCAAGGGAGTTATGACAACTTCATCATCCTTAGCACAAATGAACATCACTTTGGCATGGTACTGACAATGATTGATTGATTGATTGATTGATGTTATAGTGGTTTTAAGTTGATTGGGTTTCAAACCAAATCTAAGCCTTCTAGCTGATGTTTATCTGTGGCCTAAACTACCCAAATTCATCACAAAAAAAAAAACCCAAACAAAAAAACCAAATTCATCAATTTTAAAAATCCATAATCATGCCTTCATGATGTTATCAACACTCTGTACTGTAGTTGCTCATGTATAAGCTCATCCACTACTTTGTGCTCAATTTTACATACCAGCATTTTCTCAAGCAAAAGCCCGGGATACATTTAGAATGATTAGCTTTGCCGACTTGGGTATGCAGTGGTAAAAAATTGCATTTTGATTGAGGATATTATCCAGGTATAATAAGCACATGTGCTCCTCCAAAATCAACCCAATTTTGCATCCCATGGAGTGGGCTTATTACACAAAAAGATAGCGGAATAGTGGAATAATGTTACTGGAAATGTATGCATCATGCATCATTATGTATTGATGTAAATTTGAATTATTATCAATGTTGATTTTATTTTAGTTGTCCTGTTAAGCACCTTATGTGGTGTTATGTTGTATCAGATATTGATTGGTGTTATATGAAGCATGGGTGATCATACCAACACCTTTAGTTCAGAGGCGGCAAAACATCAAAAGGGTTCCCATTCACGCCACAATGGGTATAAGCTTCCTGCTAATGTATTTGTATAAACGATTAAATTTATCTGTGGATATGCTGGCTGTCAATACAATTCACAGAAAAACTTTCATGTATAATCATATGCTGGTCGTCCTTAAACTTTTTATTTAATGAATTGAAGCTTGTGGTTTTGTGGTGGGGTTTATGGCTTCCCAAAAGTTGGTTGCTTTGTATTAATGCCGCCCACTTTCTTGTCTCTGTGATCTGATTCATTGTGATGGAGTCAAAAAAGTAATGCGGCTGTAGGGATACTCCAAGCTTTGATACCAGGCATACTCAGACATATTTATATTTATATTTATCGTGTTTGCTGCATAGCATACTTACACACATCTGTATTGTATATAGTATCTGTAGCTCTACTATCTGAACTTTGTGCTTAACCACTCCCTTAGGACAATTACTTCTCTCATCATCGTTTATAGTTTATTGATCCTTGCACGCAAGGATTAGACTGTGTAGAAGTATGGGCATTAACTTTTATGTTGAAAATAGTAATATTACTTTGGTGGATATATTTTTTATTTACAATTAGCAGCATTTCAATCTGTTTTTATCTACCTGCATGCAGCATGCCAATTACCATAGTTTAATGCACTGTGTTATTTATTATTTAATTTTCCTGTAAAATAATAAAGCATTTCTTTATTTTGCAGGTACCTGTCCATCCTGTGTATAATATTGGAGTTGAGTGTGCTTTCCAAGCAAGTAAACACTATAGTACCCTACCAGTCCCAAGCTTATAATAAACAGGGAATTCTAAAGGTGCCTAGTTTACTCACTTGAGGGTAGGGCCTTGGTATTGGCACCTCATTGTAAGGCCATAGTATTTTGCCACCTGGGTACCATCTCATCCAGAAATTGAGATGTGCTAGTATGATAATGAAAATCGTTTTGTGATAAATCTGTGATTTTATTGGATAATCATTTGACCATTATAATGTATAACAGAAATATGGACCAAGATTTTAAAAATTTGACCTGTGTGCTAATTTTTATATGAAAGTATTCACTTAGTAAATGTTTGTTCAGACTTTTATTGAGACATTGCGGTTAGGTATGAGGTTGATAGTTCTGTGGTTAAGAAAAACAGACAAAATTATCAGTTTTATTGACAAGACAAAAAGAGGAATAGATAATAATTATAGCTAAGGTCATGGCAGCTTCCTCCTCAATGTTGACCTTGTTGTGAGGAATATGCTTACAAAAATGATATTTCATCCAATGAATGACACTCCTTTTCATGGAAAGCTAAAATTTATTTTGTTTTACTATGTGTATTTGTGGTTCTGTCTAAATTGACATTTTGAGGTCTATTTAAAATACAAGGTCAAAATAATTATTATTAATCGCATACAGTGGAATCAATAAATAGGACTACCTCTATTTAAGGACTGCCCCCTTAAGGACCACTATTTCTTCATCCCAGCAGAGAAAAATCAATCCTTTATTGAGGGACCACTACTTACCACTTTGAATGTGGTCACAAAGAGAATTTTCATTGAGATAATTATCTGCAAATATAATGAGAATGATAAGAAGTTTATCTCAAGTGAAGTAATGAAAATGTTAGAACATGTCAACAAGATTGATATGATTATTACTGTATGCATGGATCTTGTGACCAAACCCAACGAAATATATGTGAATGATTGTGTGAACTATGCGAATAAATACACTTGGAAACACACTAAAATGCCTTTGCCTCATTCAATCTCATCATTGCGGTGGTAGAACCTTGCATTCTACTTCCCGAGCGCTAATCCAACGAGGGGCGTACAATACACTGCTTTACAAAAAAAAAAACCATGTTGTATTTGTTTTACTATACCTTATAAATATAAAATAGCAAACCGTCGATATGTGAGGATAAAATTACGCAGTTTGCATACGGTTCTTGTAGGAGGGGGTTCGGTAGAATTTTTTTCCCCCCAAGTACGTGTAAATTTGGTCTGTGGATGGAAGTACAGTAGGAAACTACTGTGCTCCTTACAAGGTGTGGAAATGACCAATGAAATGTTGTTTAATACCTAATATTTATGAGGTGTAGTAATAAGCAATACTCCTCTAGAAAGCTGAGTAGGCCTATGTAATTGATACCATGAGGTTTTTGATCCAATGACCACGGTGAACATGTGACACTTTGTCATGATGCCCTATATACGACTGTTTATTCTAATGTAAAAAGGAACCTTTGGCTATTACACGGACATGTCTCAATTTCCTTTTGGTCTATTGCAAAACTCAATTACATTGGCCTACCATTGTGTCTGAGTGAAGAAACAATGAAAATTATTTTCTAAAGGGAATTTTTATGGGCCTATCTAAGAAAGATATAAAATTATAATTCAATTCAATTTCATTCAAAAAAGAGAAAAACAGAACATGTTACAATATAATATTTCAAGTAATACATCAAAATATACCAACAAGTTTATTATCATTTTTTTACATAAAACCAATGTAACTTCTTTGTTAATTTAATTAATTAAAACATAAAAACCATAATTAATTTAATTAACAAATAAGTTACATTGGTAAATAAGTAATTGGTTAAATAAGTTACAGCTATGTAATAAATAAGGATCATATAAAAACTTCTTTTTTAACCATATATAGAGGATGACTCCTCAAGCATTTACTAGTTTGGATGATTTTTCTTGATGCTCTCCGTCTCATTATGAGGCTAGAGTGTGGAGATATGTTTATTAATGAGGAAAAAATCCTATGCCATCACAGGATTTGAAACCCAGGACCCTGGGGATGGAAAAGAAAGCTTCAAAACCACCATGCTACGATTCCACTAGATATTTTAACAATTGGAGGCAAGGTACTATAACACATGAATTTCCACTGAATATTATTTTCAACCTGAATGCCAAACAGTAGAAATGGTTGATGTGTAGGCCTACATATGTGCAAATATGTTGTTTATATGGACCACTAGTCTTTTTGTGTGTCTCAAATTGACAACAAAAAGTGCTTGATATTCACTCCAAGGGGCTGTTGTTACAGACTCCTGTATCAAATTTCAAAATAAGGTCAAACCATTGAATATAATTATTACAGGGAGGCATCACAATTAAGGTTCTGGGCAATTGGTTTGCAGCTAGCCATGTTTGGGTCATGGTTCAGAGGGCATAAACAGTGCCTAGATACAACAAGAAGCAAACATAACACATGCATGTGGGATAGACTTGAAATCCAAGCCATGCTATGCTATTCACACACATTCTCCAAGCATATGCTTGAAAATATTCAAACATTTAACAGCTTTCACCACAACATACATAAATTTACCACAGGAAGTACTTAGGAGAAAATAACAATTGCTGTATTGATCTAATAAATAAAAAAAGTGGGTTTAAGCTGTTCAACGGAGGGTGGGTGACGAAGGAGACATTTTATAATAATAATATAATGATTTATTGGATGTTCTGTTTCAAAACAGAGGCACACATTAGACAAAATGTTGCGTCCACAAATCACAGAAACATAAATAATGTAGAGGCAAACATACCATAAGTAAAATGGGATAATCCAGTGGAATTTTATTCTGGATATCTGGGGCAATATAAATTTAATTCCAGAAATTGATTGATGTGGGCAATAAGAAAAATAAAATGAATGTTAACAAAGGGGTGAACATAAGGGAAAGATGGCTGGGCCTAACAAGTTTCAGCAAAAAGTACAGAATTGAATATCATACTGAGAAATATAAATACATCTCTGGGCCCTATTTTGCCTCAATATTTTGTCTGGCCATAAGACCTATTTCCACCTCATTTGTTATACTCTTAAATGGGAAACACTGGGGTCGGTTAACAGCTTCTAATTTGACTTGAGAAAATGACCCGACAATAATTTTAATAATTTACTCTAACAAAGCATTTTTTCTTCTGATCCAAAACAGTAACACCTTCCCACAAAAGATCAGGTTCATGCTAAGGACAAACTCTAATCCTAATTAATTTCTTTATAATTAAAGGAAGTTATGGAAATGCGTATTGTACACTCATTAGTAATACAAAGAAACGTACTTTAAGGGTGATTGCAAAAATTACACTACAAATAATTTCACCAAGAGGAAAATGGGCAGAATTCCAATAATGGTTGGAGGTGTTAATGCAGTAGTAAAATTCATTGTGGGTTATTCCAGTGTTCAAAACAGACCGTGTAACCATGCCCCGGAAGAGAAAGGCATGTACATGCTTGAGCCCATAGTGACCTTCACCCAGTTTTGCTTGTTAATTAAGATTGCACAAGTTAAAAAGAACAAAATAATAAGAATCCTGTTTTACATACAAATATCCTGCCAATCGGGAGACAAAATATCATTGAAATTGCAAAGTGGTCATGAATTAAATAATTTTTAAAAATCACTGCAAAATAGTACCAATACTGTAATTTAAATAATTATATTAACCAATTACATTTTAAAAATAAAATTATGTTTACTAATCATAGGTTCATTTTGCTTTTGTTTTCCACTGTATTGGCCTTGAGCCAGATGTGAACATGATTAAAATGAGTGCTACATGCCAGATATATAAAATAATAAATATATACATTATAATTATTTATATAATATATTACATGTTAGGAATTGGTGGACAACCTATATTTGTGATGCACCATCAGGTAACATAGGAAGGCTTGGGGAAAATAAAAAAGCATTTAAAAATCACTGTATAGATTTATACCTAAAACAAAAAGACATTAACAAGAAACAGACATTTTAAGATTTAACATTTCAATCTATTTGATATTTTCAAGAATACTGATGAGAAAATCTCACCCATCCATATATATTTACAATATCTACAGAAGTATAACAAAAAAAATAAAAACAGACCAATCAGATTAAAAACAAAATTAAAAATGGCCATTTAAAAATGAGGCGCGTCTTACATTAACTAGATCACTTACCATATTCTCATGAATAACAATGCATAAACAACAAAAGGTATACCTGGTTTTGTTTATACACTTCCAACAAATCAAATATAATAACAGTGTAAAGATTAGGTATGCATGCTCAGGGTCCAATCCAAATGTCTCCCCCCCCCCTCCCACCACACCCTCTATAGTATGATTAAGACACTGGTCAGTGTAAAGATTAAGTATGCATGCTCGGAATCCAAGCCAAATGCAGCTGTCCAGTACTGACCTGGGGCAAGACATTAAAGCAGAATATTTGGCCGAGACAATGTTCTTGCTTCTTGCGTTGTTGACCCCGGTCCAAATCTGGAAAGTATGTAATTGGTGTCTGGTTGCTTGGCTCTATAAAATAAGGCCAAAAAAAATAGTTTTTTTGCCCTCTTCCACCCGCTCCTAACTCATTGAAAAAAATAGGGGTGGAAAAACAAAAAGAATGGGTTTTTTAAAAATTTTTCTTTACAAATTAAAACAAATGTGAGGGAATTAATCTTCATTTTTTGCAAGATGCCCTACAAATTAGTCTAAAGTTGTTGTTTGATGTAAGATTTAAAAAAAGAAGGGAAAAACCTTTACATTGAGAGTTCAGCTGGTTAAGAAACAGTTTTTTTACCATTTGTATCTGTTACATGTCGTAGATAAGTCGGGTGCCGCTACCCTGCAGATGCTGGAAAATTGTTTTTATTTTGAATTTGAATGTGGATAATTAAGGTATTAGTTTCAGACATGAAAAAATACAGAAAAACAAATTTGAACAACAGATTCAGGTGAGAAATTTAATGATACACAATACTAAGAAAATAACAACTTCAAAACATATGAACAATCTAATACAAGGTATAACAACATGACTTCTACTAACATTTTCTTTCTATTTCATTCACTTTTTTCTTTAAGACTGAACTTCCTCTTTAGATAACATGAACAAACAGATTGGGCTTGCAGCCCAACTGCAGGCTGGCCGAGTTCCTCAGCAAATTAAAACCCTAAGCGTAAAGCAAGCATGCTTAACTTGAGCATGAAGTGCTAATTTGATTAACAAATTGAGAGTTGAGGACTTTAAACCTTATGAATAGAAATTTGGTCCTGGTCAGGTAAAGCATAAATGTGTTTTTGATTCAATAGCTTGCAATATTCTGTGACTATAGTACTGAAACTGTTTATGTAACAGATAGTGTTAATATTAACTAATTATGAATCTCTGTTTCAACAGTAAAATATTAATATCTAAATAAATAAATCATACCAATTTTTTTTTCTTTGGTGCAGCAACTCGCATTAGTATTGAAAAAAACTTAAACAGACTTAATACACAGTGGCATAAGAAAGGGGTCTAAAGCCCCTGCTCACTTTGGCGTACTTGATGTTTTAAGGAAGTATTTTGATGTTTTATTTTACATGGTAGTGCTTTATGAAAAAGGCTCTACAATGTATGTGGCAAAAATGCTGATAAAAATATCCACGCAGGGCCTGGGGCCCATCTTTAGCCCGTGAAAGCTCATAGCCGTTACACCACTGCTAATACATAATGGTATATTATGAATTGTCTCTTAGACATTTTAAGTAATTATATATATATTATAAACTTTAGTTTAAAACTTAAACTGAATTAAAAATGCATATACTATTATTAGCATTGAAATGAAGCAAATGAACATTTAAAAACATAATTATTATTTTAGTAAAATAAAAATAGTTACTTGATGGTCTAGTTAATTACATAGTTATATATTTTAGATTTGGAGGGAAAAAATTATTTAAGAAAAACAATAAGAGTTAATACAATGCAAGTATATGGTTAAAATGCGAATTATGGGTAAAATGAAGGAAGAGTCAAAAAAGGGAATGAATGGTAATAAACAATTGTCTACCAACACATTGTCACATAGTGCAATATATCTTGTCTTCATATCAATTAAATTTCATTAATTACTAATAGTTATTTAATTAAACAATTAAATATTTTTCATGCGAGTAGGACTGCTGATCAAAAATATATATTGAAATCATTGGTTCTTTTGCCAATGATTAATAAATAATATAATTTACAACAACTGATGCAGTATTAACATAGCTCAAATAAACTATACAAATCATCCCCTCTTTAAACTACAAGCAATCCCCATCGGATTGTATATAAATTTTTTTTTAAGAAGTACTTCCCCAAAATAAAAACATGGTTACATAAAAGATCTGATATTCTTTAAGTGGTACTTCATGTGTGATTCATTTTTACGATTAAAATTTTAAAATCCTGAGCTCACCATTGTGTTATTGGCTGTTATCCAGCAGTCACTGTCACTGTTAAATGTATTTCATTTTATTTCATTTATTTGTCTCAATACATTAAAAATGTACAAAAACGATAACAATTAATGTAACAATTTGAGTTAAACATGAGGCAGGGACATCCCAAATGTACAAGTCATAAATTTGATTAAAGCTAAAACATTGTTTTCTTAAAACTCCTTGTAAACTGAATTTCCGAGAAGACAAATAGGAATAGAATTATGTGCTAAGCACATACCTGTAAAATGACTATTCTTAAAACAGTAAATGTTTACTGAAATATTCAAATTCTGAATTCCCATCTATTTGATTGCCGATGAAAAATGCATCTTGCAATAAAAATAAAATCACAAGAGAACGTTTTCATGGTGATTAACTCCATGTTAAAATAAAAGCTAAGTGTAAAAATGCTAGGTCGATGAACTTAAATTATTGCTCAAGAAATGCGTTGAAAATAAAAACTCTTGATTACGATTTGGTCACATGTTTCTACAGTTTAAATGGTTTCAGAATCAGGTAATCTCATTGGATAACAACTGTTTATCTCTCAGCTGAAGCATGAAATTGATGATTTTATGTTAAAAAATAACTACAGTATAATAAAAATAAAATCTATTATAATACTTAACAGTATAAAAAGTAAAGAAAACTGCTGCTAAATTCATGAGGTTTGTAGAACATCAAGGGTTTATGAATATTTCTTTTAACCTCTGACATTATGTGAATGAATATATAACATAAGCAGGTTGCATAGAGTTTATCTATACAAATGATTTGCTACAATTTACAACAAATATATTTATCATATAAAACAGCAACCAACCCAAAAATAAAGCTGCCCAGTAAATTTAGATCTTATCAGTGGCATATCTAAGTAGTAGTTTACCCCACCACAAAGTTCTCCCCCCCCCCCCCGTAATTTCAAGTAAGGAATTACACTCAAGTCGTTAAAAATCACCATCACCTTAATTTACTTGTTCATGCCCCTATATTTACTATAATCCCTAGGGCCCCCATGAACCCCCATTTCAATACTCTTACATAGGGCAAAGATCCAACACAAAACATACATCGCAGACAAATGAACACACAAATCCAGATCAGTCAAGAAACAAACAACGAATATAGAGACAGTAAGTTAAATTTTCATATTCATATCAAAGCACTTTAAACCCACGAACAAAAGGTCTACCGGTATACATCAAATAAAATTCTTCCTTTCTAAATAAATAATACATATTATTATACACAAATACACAGGAGGGCCAAACGAAAGTTGTCAAAACTAAACCTTACATATACAAGCCCCAAGTTCCTTAAAGCAGTGCGTGAAAAAAAAATGCTACAGATAAATGCTGTGCAAATATCAATAATCGTGATTGACTTGGTTAACTACAGTACTATTATACTGCTACATAATTGTATGGACTACTGTCCAGGACATGAAATCAACACTGACCATAAGCCATCAAAAATATTGTTTCTACTCTCAATGTTGGCTTCAATAGAACATTCTTGTGCAGGATATCAGATAGAATTAAAGGTAAAAGTTGAAACAAATAAACACATTTTTCTATATTTTTAGTATGTGTCAAAATGTAAGGGATAAATAGCTCCTTCGCATGTTTTAAGAAAAAGGAGTTGAGGAGTATTATTTCAAAGTCAATCACAAAAGTATCTATTTCCTTTAGGAATATTATGTACTTATTAGCGGATTATTGGATACTTCCAAGTCAAGGCCGATGTTTGTCTGATATTATAAAACTTCAGGGCAACAAACAAGAAAAAGTCTGTCAGATCCAATGTCCAAAAATAACCAGCAATAAAATATCAAATAAAGAAGTTTTAAACCATTAATTACTGAAATATTTTGAATCATAAATTTTACATCAATTTAACAAAATATGGTCTGATTGGAGCTGAGCAAGTGTGGAGGGCCACAGACCTAAGAACCATTACTTAGGCGGGCATTACCGACTAGGATTTAACAGATGAGAGGTCTGAACAACAGGGCTCCTAAGTTGTAAGAAAACAATTCTGAGAGATATGGTTAAACAAGCCTTTTTAACACATGCCCATCACCAGTTGACTTTGGGAGAAAATTTTTAACCTAGTAGTAAAAACATGAGTGAGATTTCTTATTTCTTGCTGGAGTACTGAATCCGTCTCAATTTCCGAAAGACTTGGGGACCCTGTAACAAACGATAAACCACCACGCAGCCCCACGTTGATTAGGATATTACCGATAAGGTGAGAACTGCAAAGATGAGGTCCAAACAAATGAACACTGCACAAACTATAGAATCACAACTTTGATGTACAAAAGTAGCATGCTACTGATCTGCCCCACCATGGCAAAAAGAAGCAACTGATGTTTGCATTGCTTTGAGTAATTAAGGAATATGAGGCATGTTGATTTGTCCCCTGCTTCCTTTTCTGGTGGTTTTTGCTGTATTTTTAGTCTCTTACTTCCTTTTTGTGTTGCTAATTACTTGTTAATGAGTGGGATTTGAGCACACTCAAATGTATCAATACTGTATGTTCCAAATTATTAGTTCTTTGATAGTGGCTAAAAAACTCGTTGAAAAATTGTCAGTAACTTCCTTTTGTCATGGTGGGGCAGTGATGTGCCCCAAGAGAAAGCATAAATGTGCGCTACAAAAATGTGATTCATATTTGGAAAGCTCATGTTGATTTGAACGATCACACTGACAGCTTGTCAAATACCAACGAGGTTTTTAGTAAGATACTATTTGTTAATCATTTAATGAAACTTGCTGGTAACCTTACATGGGTTATGACCTTTTTACCAACAACAAAACATTTCAAATATATCATAATGGGACAGCACAGAGGAACACCTGCTTGATATTCGAACAAGACCGCCCTCTCTTGGCCAACTTCACAATAAACTACTCACATTATCACTGCATTTTTTTAGTTAATATACAAATTCATTTTCTTTTATCTTTTTTTTTCCCCTTTTTTTGTTATAGTTTTCTAAAGCAATTTTATTAATTTTTTTTTTCTTTTTTCAAGTTTATAGTTTTTTTTTGTAATTTTTAAAATATTATCTGTGAAGATAGATGGAGGTATAAAAAGTAACCTGCTTTTTATACCTCCTTCATTTCATGACGTTGATATGGTAACGGACACAGCACTCGCTGGAACTGACGAATCAGGGATCAGGAGATGGCTGTCGATCGTATCATTTACAACTTTTAAACGCTTCCTCGGAACCTGTGGGCTATCATCAGCGGAAGAATCCGAGTCCGACTCGCTGTCCTTGCTGGATTTAGAATTCACGAGCATGCTAATACTTTCTGGACTGATGAGCCTACTAGGATCCAGATCGCCTGTGATCTGAGCTTTCTCTAGCAACGCAACTGATGAAGAAAAAAAAGAAGTCAAACTCAACTTTTTTTTAAATCATTAATAATAATCATACGCAATACAGGAGTGTTTCTTACTCCTGACAAAAACACTACGTTTGCTTTATGAGAAGATTTAGGCTTTGATTGGATTATATCAATCATACCATGCATAGTACAGAAACCCACCGAGTAAATGACATTTTACTACCAGCAAAAATCATAATCTTATAATTATCATTAAATGTTTGTATCAATATTTTTTTAATACATTAACTAAAACCTTTTTTAATATATTTACTTGTAAGATATAATTATTATGTTGTGATAATCTTAACCAAACATAATATTAAAACCACCTTAAAATATAATTCAATATAATCATTTAAATAATAATAACAAGAGAAAGGCTTAATGCTCACTTGCTGCAAGAGTAACTGAAGACACTGTTTTAAAGTAAACAATGTTGCCTACTAGAATATTTATGAGCATTTCAAAATCATGAATAATTTATGAACTAAATTTAAATATGTATTATTTGTGAGGAAAATGCAAATCATGGCATTATGAAGAGCTAATGAAGTCAAGTTCAATATCAATAATTTTAATTTAATTAAAATGAAATTTGACATGCTCGGACAAACATTCAAAAATCCTGAATCATTCATGAGTCCTACTAAAAATAAGAGGATTTACTATAAATATCACATTTAGTGATGTAAGTATGTGTATATCGACCTAATTTTGAAATACCTAGTATTTCTCGGAAATTAAAAAAAATGTTTCAAAAGTAAATTTTGAAAGGTAGGGCTTGGGAGCTAATAATGCATAAACAATCTAGATCATGTCTAGGTCACCAGCTTTGCTAATGCAGTCTCTGATTGGTCATCTATATAAGGAAAGCATCACTGATTGGTTGAAGATGGACAGGAAGCTCAGATGTCTAAAATGCACTGTATTGGAATTAAACGATTTGAACTTGACAATGTAAATATAGTAACTGTACTTTGTGCAGTAATAATACAATGCTTAAATTATCCAACTGATTGCATCTACTGTCTGTAATCTGCTTACTACAGAATTGGCTACTACTAAAATAAAACATCTAAAACACTCACTTTATAAAGATTAATGGGAAAACCCTGATTACAAAGTTGCACGACAAAATCAAATTAACATAATTTCATCAATATTTTACTGCTTATGCAGGAGATAATATTCAATGCAGGTTTTGATGCCCCTAGCATATGCACTAAAACTTTAGCACGGTCAGTAACCAAGGTTGTATATGATAGTTGTTATTTAATAACCCCAATGACACAATGCTGGGCATATACAAGATTATGAAAATTAATTGAATCTCCTTTAAAAAACATGTATGCCTAGCACTTGGAATGGCAACACTGCCCTCAATGTCAACAATAACTAGATAAAACATATATCAACAAGACCGGACAATCTAGCCTTGGATATTACATATGTTCGCATAAAAATGTATATCATATAGGCCTATTCTTGATGTGATCGATCATGCTTATGTTCGTAAGCAAGTAACCTCTGACATACACTTATATTGCCTGCAGCTACAAGACAATTTAAATATCTTATTAGAAAATTAAAAAAAAAAAAAGTTTGCAGGAACATCAAGTACAATGCTAGGCCGTAGGTTGATTTTGGCCTGGGAGAGGGGGGGGTTTGGCCTGAGAGAGGGGGAGTGGATGCGAAAATTTAGGATAAGGAACTAAATCTCTATGGGGGTGCAAGGTCAAGCCCCAACCTACGTCCATGGGTGTTTGTCTACACACTTGCAGTTCATGTATTGAATGAAACTGCGACAATAATTGAAGCTTAGGAGACCATAGCATTGTGATAATTCAGCCAGTAAAGCTATAGTTCAGAAATTAGAGGGAGGCAGGATATTAAATAGAATAGTCTAGTGTTATTATATGACATCACTATAATTATGAATAACTGCGATTGGAAAGTAGGTTGACCTTGGCTATTCTATTTCAGGTACTTGCACTCTAGCATTGCATGTATCAAGGTCACTTTTTCTCCATACCACAATCTGTTACAACAATAACCAATCATATATAATTAATTTTATTCTATACACATCTACAATTATCCACTGTCTCAGATTTTACAATATCCTGATTAAATTTTAACTGCAAGAGGAGAGTTTAATATCAAAATGGGGAAGAACCGACATCCACCCACTCCCTTACGGCCCTGCATTTTTTATGGAAGCTAACAAAATAAGGACTGGTACATTTTCATTAAGTCATCAATATAATTTTTGTTGAAATTGTGTTTTTTTTCCCTCATAAACTGGATGTATTCTGTTGCCTTGTTGAGAATCTGGGCTCTAGAAGACTATAGACAACTGACGTCCAACACACTCCCCTACATGACCTGCATTTTTTAGGGAAGCTAACAAAACAACCAACCTTGTCCATCTAGTAGTTCATTTTGTTTCTTTAAGTCATCAATATCATTTTGGTGGGAATTGTTTTTCCTCCTCATAAACTGGATGTATTCTGTTGCCTTGTTGAGAATCTGGGCTCTAGAAGCCTATGAATAAAAAATTGACATAATTATTACTCAACTTTATCAAAAACATTGGGTGTGTTTCTACTGATCAAAAAAGACAGTTTCCAAGAACGGTTCTGCCAAAAGAAGAATGACTTCTTTTGGCAGTACAAATAGGCCCATAAAATAAAACACTTTTTTATTGTGCTGAAGGTGTACTGAACAATATAGAAGGAAAGAGAGCATTAGAAAAAGAAAAAAAGAATTGGATTGGTCATGTTTTAAGGGGAAAAAGTTTGTTGAAAGAAGTCAGAGGGGCGAATGGAAGTGAAAAGACCAAGAGGAAGAAAGATAGGGATGACAGATGATTTAAAGGATAAGAGGCCTTATGTGGAAATGAAAAGAGCGGAGGACAGATGCCAGTGGAGGAGTTGGCAGCCAAGGATCTGCCTGACAGCAGGACACTAAAGAAGATCGTGCTGAAGAACTGTTTTTGATGTTCAGCATGTCAAGAACAATTTCTCGTAAAAAAAATCCCATTACGGTTTGATTGCAAGAAAAAAAATTACATGTCCTTATCCTAACTTTGATAAAATCATATTGTTGATAGTAATATCTTTTAGATTTTTTAATATTATTATTGATAGTAATAACATTTAAAGTCAGGCTTCGGAGGAAAAACATTTTTTGATATGTTGTAGCATTGATTTTTCAAAGACAGAAAAAATTGTCTGACAAAAAACTGGGGAACAGTGAATGAGATACAGATTTTTGAATATTTAAAAACTGGGGGGAAAAGGGGCGTAACTGCCCTTTTTTACACCTTTTAGAAAAATCGTGCTACAACATATCAAATTTTTTTTTCCCTCCGGAGTCTGACTTTAATAAATAGGCCTACAATATGATAATAGTAAATATAATTTTACAGACCTTTTCACCTTGTAAATTAGGTACAGCATCTCGCAGCATGTTAAAGCTGTCCTTAATATGATCACGCCGTTTTCTCTCAAGGGCGTTATGATGGGCTCGTTTCTCGGCCTAAATGAGAACGAGGATATCAATTAATTACCTCAATTAACTACGTAATTATCGCCTTATTCAATAATGAATCTTGTTGTTTTATTCTCATTTTTATCTCTTATGTAACGGTTGGAAAAAGACAAAAAATTCAGTTTGTACACATAAGATTAAAAACAGTCAAAGCCTACTCAAAACATCTTGTATTTCTTTGGAATCATCTTATTTCTTAACAATTCTAAAATGTATTGAGTTGCTGATTTTTTCTTTAAACTGCCAAGTCTATTTTGTAAAACACAGTCCATTACGATTATGAGCATCCATCCTCTCTTATCGTTACTAGTGGTCGCATGCTGTACGCAGCCATAATGCAGACAACTTCCAAGACATCTTGTTAAAAGTAATGTTACATTACCTGCTCAATGGAGTTAAATCCATATCAATATGTTGTCATGGCAACCGTTTCCATAGACTCAGAATTGACTATCATACATGTCAATAATGCATGAAGGCAAACATGTGGTAAAGAGGCATTTTGTCTTCTTGTAGAATGCAAGTGCAGACTAAAATTGTATTTGGGCCACATGTGCAGTGAGCCGTGAAATTTTATAAATCAAAGGTCAAACAATGATCACGAAACCTAATGACCAAGAAAATATAATCCCTCTTTAAGATAAACGGTGCATGAAGCGTTCTATCAATTGAATGTTATCATTCTAAATATAACATTTATTAATGTGAAGGGGATAGGTTCAATATTCTTTGTCACTAGCCATATTAATACCTCAACCCTCATTTGCATACAATTGTACAGATATAACAATACGAACTGGTAAATCAATCAGCTTATTAACCAATGCAGAACTGTTGGATAGTCTGATGAAAAATCAACATAATATGGAAGACAACTGACGACAGTGAATATAGTTAGCCTAATGAACCGTCATGAATCGTGCAAAAAACATTAATTCAACACAATAGCTCAAATAAAATGTCTTGATCAACTGCCAAGTCTCTCTTTACAAATAGGTAGACAGGGAAACTGCTTATTATTTTAAATAAAGGTTAAACATTATGTCAATATCGATATTAAAGTTCCATTCTTATATTATTTTGAGGATTTGCATTGTTATAAACCACAAGAATTTCTAGAAATATTTCCCCAATAAGCAAGAATTCTCACGATGAGTTAAGTACCAAAGACTTTCAAAATCTATGACTTTTATTTGCTAAAATGAAAGGGGTGGTATATAATCACACCATGTGATACTATTTTAGTATAATATTGTTACATACCTAAGCTTCCTGCTTCTACTTGAATAATTGAGGCATGAGGACAGGAGACAGACACTATTGATTCTCTATTCCAATCCGATAGAAAGTGTTACCTAAAGTTGAATACGTGCCTAACAACACTACATTATATCTTTTGGATGGAATGTGTGATTTCCTAAAGTTGAGTACGTGCGTTGTAACACTGCATGCTTGAACCTAAGCAGCGTTCTCATCCTACGGACACCAATAGACCGAATTAGTTACCAATTACTTTGAATAATTGAGGCATGAGGACAGGAGACAGACACTATTGATTCTCTATTTCAATCCGATAGAAAGTGTTACCTAAAGTTGAATACGTGCCTAACAACACTACATTCTATCCTTTGGATGGAATGTGTGATTTCCTAAAGTTGAGTACGTGCGTTGTAACACTGCATGCTTGAACCTATGCAGCGTTCTCATCCTACAAACACCAGTAGACCGAATTAGTTACCAATTACTTGACTTCAAAAACCAAAAACGCCAATTCTATATCACTGAGCATTCTGGAGTGGTCTATAAAAATTTGCCTGAACACTACACCTCACGATACACTTATTGTGTGTACCACGTTTGTTTTGGTTGAAATACGAAACAGCTTTGGTGACTGATTTGGCCAATCAGAATAATTACACCACAGAATATATTTTTTACACAGTGTGGTTTAGCGGTGATGGTACCTATGCTCTTCATTAAGGGTCATTGGTTCACGCAACTAAAAAATAGCAAGGTCATCCTGGTTAAATATTATGTACAATATAAATCACCTATCATTTAATTTGGGCTAATAAAGTCTAATTCACAGTATACGATACCTGATTCCCAACCAAATAAAAAAAAAACATTTTACAATTTAGTTTTTACATATATAACAAAGGCAGGGCAAATAGTTAAATTGTTAGGTAGTAATCCTATTATAATACGACATGTTTATAATTGGTAACCACGATACCTTACAAACTACAGAGATATTTCAATTGTTACCGAGCATGAACTTAACAATATATCGCTCCAATAACAGCCATTCATCTTTTTTTTTAACCTACATAAATTACCCATTATGCTTACTTGTAATTTCCCCAGAAAGTAAATGAATACATAAAATGTTATCGAGCAGGTAGATATTAAATAAGCAAAGGCTTAACATGTTTCAAGAAAATCATCTTATTACCATACTCATGTTAACCAAGGACAACTATTATTATTATTATTAATATTCTTTAGATATATGGTTTTAATTGGATACTCAATCTTGAGTAAAAAAAAAAATCTGATATATTGGAAACTTAACCACAGAGTGAAAAATGTTTATTAGTTTGTATTTAGACCAGAGCTGCCTTCTAAGTACAGTTACAATCAACCTGTGTAAACAATAATTTATTTGTAGCATACTTCATCAATAGACATGAGTTAAATATAAACCTGGGTAATTTTTTTACAATCCGGACTTTCAGAGGGAATTTTCAAGAATTATTTTTATTTTGGGCCTCTTCCGCTGATGTCTGTTATTCATGTTTGTAATGATGGTGTTTCCTCAAATTTCTAATCAACAATATGCCTACTCTTGATCTCTACTAACTCCAAAATTAATTTTAACAAAATATAATTTTCTTGTCCAAAAGAATAATTATATTAAGGTAGCAAGCAGCTAATATAGCATTACACGCTAGATTTTAATTATTGGAGAACAGACAGCAAACTACAGTGTTCCACACACTCTAATCAATTTATTAATTGATAATTTCATGTACTGTTGGATGCCAATGTATATAATTTACATAAATTAATATCTACACATATCTAAAATGCTTGATTTTTATCCTTATTGACTTAAATCCTGCCATAGCATTCTAATCCATCTTTAAAAATATTGCTTTAGCTTTTGGCCGAATAATATGTACCCAGGTTGACCTATATATCAGTAGGTGGGTGGTGGCATGCAGAGTTAATGATAGGGGGATGATGTCACTGCAGCCCTGGATATCAGAGAGGCACTGGAGGCATGCAGAGACTGGGTTGGGATCTAAACATAGTTATAGTGTCCCTGGATAGTACTTAAAATAAACTAAGCTGTTTAGTCTTAAAATGTATTAATATTACTCCAATTCATACACTTTTCCATATGTGGCAGATTTTAATGCACAATCTTACATACAGTCACTATCTATCAAGAATAATAATTTTTCTGACATTACAAACTAAATAAGAATATTTATATTACTCATTTTCTAATAAAAAAATTATTTTAGAAAACTAATTAAAAATTAAATTTACCTTCTGGGATCTATATTATATACCTCATACCTAGATTCACGACGCATCTGATTAGTTAAAAATTTGGTAATAACTTCAACCATCATTCCTATGACGTACATTGAATGATAGTTCATAAATTCCCGGGGAAGAAAGTATTATCACGTTAAATGATAGCACTTTTATTCCCTATCACGATGTAATCTCTAGGCCCCACTTATAACGTCGCTGTGTAATTTATGACATGCACGGGCGGTCGAGGGGACTATGACTTCTACGTGAGAGATTGGCCCTTTGACCGCACCATGGAACAGCGAGCAGACGATCATCAAACATGGAGGCTGGCCTACAGTATCAATTAATAATGCCTAGCCTAGTCCTACTTGGTGGGTACTCTTTTAATTACTTTTTTAGGCCTTGTAGAATCTATGTACAGATATTATGTACTTCATATTAGTAGGTACTGAATATATATACCTTGTAGCCTACAGTACTTTCTTCCCTTGGACTGAAGATAGTAGGCTACAGTCTCCACTTCACCTCAGGGTAATAGATTTCACCGTTCCCCTGATGAGCAGTTCAGTTTTTGTACAGTATACTATGATCCATAAACTGCATAACACAATACCATGCTTGTACACAACACAATTAAATAACTAGAATGCAATAACTATAGTGTACATCAATATAATTCTACTCTAAAATAACACAAGCAGACGCACACATGTAATGAGCATGATTACATCTATATTAGATATAAATAGAGCACATACAGTACATGTGGTTGCACTAATCAAATAGTAATTATAATAAACATAACTTTGCTGCATGGAACAAACTACATAGCTTTCTGACTGAACCCCTTATTAAATCATAGACCACAAATTCCTCAAATAATCTGTTTGTTTCCCGACATCCATCTAGTTCAATGGATCTTACCTCCTGTCAGGGCTGGAGAAAGTGTGTGACGATGCGACTGGCGGTTGGAGAAATCATGAAAATCCCAGAGGAATTTTTGGGGAAATAAATTTTAAAAAACAAAGTGTTTAGTGTACAGACAACATTTGGTGCTGGGGCATTTTATTAAGACAACTTTCATGGTTGGAAAAAAGCATTTTTTCCCGAGGTCTATCTCTTGTTGTTACTTGAGTGTGATAGGACATAATTTCAATGGAGTAGAAAATTTTCTGGTAGGCATCTTGTACAGGGACATGATTTTTGCCTACTAGACTCTTTACTTTTGAGAAATAAAATTTAATGCAACTTGCATGATCACACTATATGCTGCTTATAACCCATAGTATATCTCAAGATAACAAAATATGTATTACCTGTAGTAAATATCAATACTCTTTTTCTTAAAAATGCTTTTATAAAGTAATTATGTATCGATATCATATGTAATATACACTGACATACTGTAACAGGAATTTATAACAAAGTTTATATTA